CTTTAATTATTACAAAATAATATTTTTATACTAAGTTTATCTTTACTAAGTTGAATTTAATTTTGAATTTATTTTTATTTAAGCTTTTTCATACTCATGCTCTATTTAGCCACTCTCAAAAGCTTCTTGCTACAAGAGCTATCAATCTACAATATTTCGTTGCATACTTGTGTGCTTGAGAAAAAGCACACTACTCGATCGTAAGCAAGACACCTAACACCAGGTGGCGCTAAAAGTATGTGTAGAAAAAATGTAAAATATATATGTATTCTATGTAAAATGCATTTTGGAGATCTGCAAGCAACATTTTTTGTTCATTTTTGCATAAACTAAGTTTATTATGAAGCATTGGATTAGATTTTCTTACTCAATTTTAAACATTAAAAGACTTTTCAAAGATATGTCTAGTAAAAAAAGAACAAGACATTTAGTGCCAATCTGCTGATAATCTGATTACACATCTAGCTATCTAGCACAAGCAAACGCTTTCGATGCGCTGGCCTGTAACCCAAATAGGCTGAGGTTGTTGACCCAATTTTTGCAAGGTGCATTGAACTGTTTGTGGGCAGAAAAGCAGAAAGGCAGAAAACGTCACTAGCGATGCGTAAGCGAAAGAGAGCGAAAAAGAGAGTGGGAGAGTGTTTTTGCATTGCGACTTCTGCGTGAGTGTGTGCGTGCTGTGTTTGTTTGGCTAGTTGTAAAATGGAAATGAGTGGGAAAACTAGAGCTCAATTTTAGCACAGTTATCCGGTTGAGAAGGCAACAAAATAAATAAAGGAATAAATTATAAAGCTAGCCCATATTACATTTTCAAACACAAAAATGACTACTACAGTATACTGTATATTATTATTCACAATTTTGGTGATAAATGTTGACACTCAGGAAATAGGAAGCACATACTATTGTATGTTTGCATTATCATAAAAGTTTCCTTCTTTTAAAAAACATGACACTATGACAATTTTTTAGTCATTTTATTATTTATTGCCAAAATGTAATTTTTAACATTTCTGTATTTTTTGTACTAAAAACATTAATTTGTTTCATTGCCTATTTTAAAGTGAGCTAATTTTAAATATTTTTCTATTTTGTATTTTGAGACCCAATCGAAAAGGAAATGCATTTTCTAGAATTTTCCCTTGAGATACACAACCTAAATACGACCGAATAGTGTCTCCCACCCCCATTTGCTCCCCCTCTTCTTTCTCCTATCTTTTCTCACTTTTCTCACCCCTCTGCCACACCTCATGCTCACTCACACATACACTCACTCACACGCCTAGACAATTTCATGCAACGCTGCGCCGCTGCTAACGCCTCAGCCACCGTCGACAGCGACTGCAGTCAGTCGTTCAAGTGCATTTCAGAGCATTAACCTTTGTGTCTCTGTGTGTAAGTGTAGTTGTGTGTTTGTGTGTCCTAGCCCAACATTCACTGCTCTCTTTTGAGCTATCGCTCTCTCTCTAGTTTTTCCTGGCTTTTCCTTTTGGTTTTCCAATTTGAAGTGCAGGCAAGTGGAAAACCTCGAAAGCAAACTGGGAATTGAGGTCTCCCATGATAAAATCTCGGGAATGGCGCAAATATGGGTGTATAGTATGTTTTCCCCACTGATAAATCCAGCCCAAAATGTATTTTTTTGTTTATTTTGGGAGTTTATTTTTCTACCGTCTTTCTTTGCTTTTCTTTCTTTGAGATTATCAAGTGCAGTTGGTGTTTGTTCATACTACAATCATTATCTACTGAGTGCTCTAAAATTGATGCAGGTTAGGGTCTATGAAAGGTGACGGGGATAGATGGATGTAGTAGGAAAAGGGAGGGGAGTAAAACAAATAATATGTACATTGAAAATGTTAATAAGGTTAATTATACATTTTTGTTTAAATTCTATATTATTTTTGGCCACAAATCAAGGAAAATATAGTAAAACATTGTTCTCGCTCTTTATAAACTGCAATGAAAAAACTGAGAGCCCAAAAAGAGAGCGCGAGAGTAACGCTCTCTTTTCGCCTTCTCCTCCTCTCCCTCTGCTGCTTTCTTGTGGCCTATGCTGCGTACGCTGCTTCTGTTTCTGCTTTGACATTGAACGAGTTCATTCACATTTGCTGCACGCACACCACTGCAGCGCCACTCACACACATACTGGCACGAAAAACTACACGAAGCATAAACAACAACTGCCGAAGCGAAATGAAAAAAAGAGTACAAAAAGAAGAGAGCCACACCGAGCAGCAGTGAAAAAAGAAAGAAAATAACAAAAAATAATGTATGCAAGTGTGTGCGTAAATAAATAAATATGCTAAATAATGTGAAAAGAATAACAAACACGTTAGATAATAGTTCCAGAATCAGAAATAAAGAAAGCTGACCACAAAGAAGAGTCCCCCGGCATTTTATTGAAAATTAACATCTATTTGACTATTCCTCTTCGTCTCCGCTTTGCATGCTCCTTCGTAGTGGTCCCTCGAAAAAAAACAACAAAATAATATCACCTGTCCTCTACAATTTTTTAGTTACGAAATCGGGAAATTGGGTCATTAAGGCAGCAGGCAACAAATGTGTGAAAGACACAAACTAGTTGGGTTAAGGATAATGGAGGGGGTTAATGTGAGTTGAGATGTGAGTCATGGATAAACTATTTTGATAGTTGTTTAGAAAAAAGTCATTTTTTCCAACAACTACTTTAAGAATTAGTAACTATCAAGGAAGCAATTAATTTTACCTTTATTTTTAATATCTCAAACGATTAATTTGGTGTAATTTTTATGTTTTTATTTCCGGAGTTAGCATTTCAATTATTATAACCAAACATATTTTGAATAAAATCGAAACTACAAAACATTTAGAGACTTTAGAAAATATTCTTCCTCCTTCCTTTGTGAAGATTTGTGAAGATAATAACACGCAGTTTAAAGTTCTTGCAGAAAATATAATATAACTAAAGTCTTAAATTAATATAACCATTTAAGCTTCCACCGTGAAAAATCGCATATAGTGAGCCTAAAAGTTCTATAAATATCCAACTAGTTTTTTGTCAAACCTTTTCCGCCATAATTAATCAGCGCGTAGAACCCTTAAGCGGCACTAAAACTATTAAATACGAGCAAGAACGAGTTTCGAACAGAGCTTCAGTTGCCAAGTGTTGAAGTGAGTCAGTTGGCAAGCGAATGAAGTCATTCGTCAAGCTCGAAACGCAGAAAAGATCTAAAGCAAAAATAAAAAAAGCATAAAACCCAAGAATCTGTCTCTGAAATAGAGGTCAATAGACAAGACGAAGGTCCATCGAGCAGATCAGGTAGGCAGGCCACTCAGAAATCGTGGCCACAAATGGCCAGGGCGGAAATATCAGCCAAAATGAGACACGCGGCGTATGAGCAATATGCGAAACTCGCTTCCTCAAAGGGAGCGAGCGGGATGGGAGTAGTGTGTGCGTGAGCAAGCGAGAACGAGAGATGGCCTAACTCTGGCCTAACCTTGAACTTCAAAAAAGCGCGAAGGAAACACAAATTTTAGGCCTACCTATTCAGCTAAACATATATTTACATTCACATAATAAACATATAAATTAGCACACAACAAAAGAAGTTCCAAGAAACTTGAAAAGCCAAAAAGAAACTGGTTCAAAGTCAATGAACTTCTGCTTCTTCCTTTGCAGATCGATTCCAGTTTTGTGTGGACATACAGTGGTCATTTGCCAAATTTTAATCATTAAAAAATTTCAAGGGGTTTCACATCTAAGGGTATCTATTTTTTGAAAATCCAAAAGCCGATTTTTTAAAATTTTAACATCTTTGCGATCACTGTGCTAAAATTTCTGCAACGTTTGAAATTTCAGACGCGCAGACAGCTTAAATGCAAAAACAAATACATGGACCGCCAAGGGCCAGACGAAAAGAAAGGGATGGCGGATGGTAAGAGAGAGCCAGAACGAGAACGAACCTCGACTGGCTGTTAACCCAATTCAAGGACGTCATTGAGACATTAAACCCGACTCGCTCCTCAAACTCCGAGTGCGCCGGCGAATATAAGGGAATAGGGCAAACTACTTTGCCAAGGTTGTGCAGAATGGATGTGGTGATGGTTGCGTGACACGATCCTATCGTGATCCTCGGGGAAAGCTTGGGCTGATTGCGATTTTCTCAAGCGAGACACTCATCTCTGGAAGAGGAGAACAATCACTGGAACGATCACTGGACTCTGGCCAGAGGTTCAGCTCTTTGGGCGAATGAACTTGCCGGCATTTTCAATGTCACAGACGACAAAGGGCGGCAACGCAGGCTTTAAAAAGCAGCAGGAGCCGAGGAAAACACTGAAAAAAAATACTCGATACCTATTAAGGGGGCAAGTGGCTTAAAGGATATTTTAATAATACCTTTTTCTAAATTTGTTTTTTAATATCTAAACCTTTTGAGTCTGATTTAATACCTTTGTTATATCACAATGAGAATGTAATTGTCTTTTAAGTTCCACAAAATCGGAAAATTGATCAAACAATATTGAACAGATGCCCTCTTCTTCAAATACAATTATCATCGTATTGCATTGATCCCTAATTTGATTTTGCAGTGCAGAATGAAAAGAATCATCCACAAAGGCACTGAAGGTTTCGTTCTGGTTTGGTGGTTGCTTTAGTTTATTTTTCAGTTTTTTTGTGTCTCATTTGCTTTGCCCAGGATTGGGTTTGTTGTACATTTTGATTTATTTTATTGCGACGCAATTTAATGCAAGGACAATTCGCCAGACGACGACGCAGGTTTTTGTGAAGGGCAAGGCCCTGTTGCTGTTGCTCTTGCTGAAAAACAACCCTGCTGAAGTAATTCCTGATCCCTTTTTTTGCCCTGCCAATGAGGTCAACAGAGTTCAATGTCAGACGAGCAGTTGGTGGTTGGGCATCAAGTTGCACGTGGCGAGCACACTTTTGTATTGCCACCCCCGCGGCATCGACAACCCCTCTGGCCCTTAAAGGATATTCGTATGCATGTATAGATGCACTAACTTACCTTGCAACCCTCGCAGGAATGCACGCCGTAATGGAAACCGGAGGCCTTGTCCCCGCAAACGCGACACAGCACCGTTGTGCCATCGAATTCTGCAAAGAAAAGATGCCAATTTGAAGATTAATAACCAGAAAATAGCATTAAGGATATTGATGAAATCTAGGGGGTAACAAGGGTTGAAGGGTTCAAGTTATCAGCAGTGGGAAAAAGAATTTCACCATAGTTGAAATATTTTCAAAATTATTTAACATTGTGGAAGAATAGGAACAGTTATATATAAAGTTAACCTTATTTCATTGTCATTGACAATACATTATATCTTGTTAGTTTCCCAACAACAAGTTAGATGGCAAAGTAATAAAAATCAAAAACCTATTTATCAGCTTAAGGCAAAAAACCATCAACAACTTTCATTATCACTTCCATTTCATAATCGAAAACCAAAAACAAATCAGAAGAAAGTCCCCCTTAAGATCGCACGTAATACTTTCTTCAAACAAAAGCAGCGCAATACCAAAGACGAAGAAAGCAGTAAAACAAAATGTGCGAGACAACAACAACAAGAAACTTGTTGCTGAACTTGAGCTCGTTCTTGGCCAAAGAAATGTTACGTAACTTTCACCGACAGGTAAACAAGAAATAAAAAAGGCTACCAAACCAGAAGAAAGTAAACAAGGGAGAGCACAAGAACACGAGAAAGAGCGGAGGAGAAAGACTTTCTTTTGGAAGGAAACAAGTTCTTGCAACTGAGTGAAAGACTTTCCTCAAACAGGTTTTGCTTTGATTCTTTCTACATGTTGAGGAAGCTCCAAAGAAAGTCTTTCTCTCAGTGGCAGAATATCTTCTTAGTTGCTACCCTTCTCTTTCTCTTTTACATATCTCCATCTCTCTTTTTGAACTTCCTCTTTTCCTTTACGAATCAGACACGCCACGCTTTGTAAACAATTGTAAATGGCAAACAATGTTCATGATCTTCACGCTGCCATGGCCATCATCATCATCACGATCACGATCACCGCGATCATGAGCAACTTGTATCTGTATCTGCTTTTTGCTATTTCTGTGCCAGACTCACACAACTATATGGTTGCAATGCCGACAAGTTCACTGACATTTCGCACTGTCGATCGTTGCACTTTTGCATTGCCACCAAACAGCAAAAACAACAACAATAAAACAGGCTGCCAAGAGGAAAAGGGGTGGTGTGTTTCACTGATCTTTCGCACGCCACTGACTGAGTTCGCTTCGAGTTTCCAGTCTGATAGATACATAACTATATATGCAGATATATGAGTGATCCACCAAGAGAGTGTAGTTGGTCTACTTTCAACGTTAGCCAAGTAATTAGGTTTTTATGGTAAAATTATGCGAAGCAAGTTGATGGATCAGTAAATATCTGTTAATTCTCCCAATTAACATTTAAAGTTCAAGAGCGTTTATTAATATCTATTGACATCATCGAAAACAAAAAAACTATTTGGGTAGCATCAGAAATCGAATCTTATATTTCCAAAAGATAATTAATCAATCACTTGTATCTGACTAGACTCACAACTAGGAAGCAAAACATCGCATTCGCCAGTGCCTCTTATAGATACAGATACAAAACCAGCTGTAGATCGTAATTGAAGTTCTTATCAGAGGAGAAAATCAAATAGAAAGAAAAACAATCACTGCAAACATATATACTTGAACTTGAAAAAAAGAACAGAAATTTGTCTTTATTTAATAAAATATTATTCTTGTTTTTCGGGTTTCCTTTGTGATGTTTTTTTTTCGGGGAATTTCGTGGCACACATTTAAAAATATTTCATTGGGGGCGTTGAGAGAATAAAGAATGCCAGGTTCTGTTCCCATCTCCCTCGAACACCGACACTGTCTCTCTCTTTTTTTCCTAATTCGGAACCCATTCGGAATCGTTTGGCTTACGTCATTGGCTTTGTGATTTATATAAATATAGGTTTTTTTGGCAAGAACTTGCCTTTGTAATAGATTCGCTCATGGATTACCAAATTGTGTTCTATAAACAACGGCGGCAAGGTCAGTTGAGAGGCCTCTCAGTCTGCCCCCTCCCTATCACTGTCTATATCCCTAACCCCACTGCCCCTCTCTTTCTCCATCTCTATCGCTGTCTCATCGCCTTGGGAACTGTTGGCATTCGCTAATCGGCGACACGTGTAATAGCCTGATAAATATTATTCTGTTTTCTTTCGGTGTAATAATAGGCCATATGAGGAAGGTGCTTACAGGCGATTGTTGTTGATAGTTTGTCGTGATAAAGATACTCAGTCGGCTGCTTTTGCGAAGTATCTTAAAATTCACAAAACTATTGTTTAGCGATTAGTTAGTTTGTTTGCTGGGCCATGAATAAGGCTGACAGAAGAGAGCCTTTTTAATGTGTTTTATCTTTGGGTTTTTATTCAAATTTTATGGGGCATCATGGGTTTTTAATTTTTTGACCTTAACATAGAATGTGAGTCAAGCATATAAGAAATTCTGTTTCCCTTGAAATATTATTATCTTCTTCTTAAATATTTCAGTAGAAATAACATTAAATACGCTATTAAACTAATCATTTTAGTATAAAACAAAAAATAAATCTTTTCCAAACAATATTTCCCTGTCTGTGAGATTCTAGCTAACCGAATAATCTGGCTGCCAAATCTATGGGAATTATCTAATACGCACTGCTCATACACACACTTACGCAGGAAAGCATGCTGAGGCGACCTTGAAAGTTTCATTCACTTCACACGCACACACACACGCGTGGTTAAGGAAAAGGGGCGGGGGTTTTGGGGGTGTCTGCGAAGAGGTGGAACGGGCACTATCTGAAATACTAGAAATAAGCCAAACAAATGGCAGCTCCCCTCACAAACACACCCTCGAAGAGTACACAAACACAATCAAATTTTCGACTACTCAAAATATTTATTAACACAAGAGCGAGCGAGAGGGAGGATCGCTAAGAGAACGAGAGGGAGATATTGCCATATTGGCAATGTTCTGTGTGAGTCAAAAAGAAAAAAAGACTACTAAATTAAAATTTGACATTGAAATTTTTGCTGCTCTCGCGCCCTCTCTTTCTCGCTCAATCAATAAAAGTTTCGCGCGTGCAGGAGCAACAGAGAGGGGGCGAGAGAAGCGTTCTCGCTCTGCCTACAAACTTCGATGCGGAAATGTTCGGACAGGTTTTTCAGTTGCTTTTTATTTTAGCGCCAGTTCAATGTATCGTTTAATCAAGTCAAGAATACAACAATTTTATTCAACATTTTTGTCAAGTTCAAAAAACGCAACTGAGGTCAACGAAAAAAAAAAGGTATATGAGGGATACACCTTGTAAAGTGGGCGCGTTTTTTAGTCACCTTCGCTGGGAGTTCATTGAATTAACAACTGCTGCCTAAAATTTCGATTATGCAATGGGACTCAACTTTTGGCGGGAATATGAAATTAATGACCTCTCAATGAAACAGAATTTTTTGAATTTCGAGTGCATTGCTCTTTGAGTTTGTTTTGCTTTTCTTTGGAGGGCCTTGCACTTTTCGAGGGACTCATAAAATTATTGAACTTTTTCGGGGGTTACTGATCGAGGCGTGGGAACGTTTACTTTTTGCAATAAATGTTCATGTGTCATGTGGATTTTTAAATGTTATTAATAAGGGGAATATGAGTCTGTGCCAGATCTTCTTATGGCACATGATGTTGTTTTTAATTAATTTAATAAGCCATATTGACAGAAACCCTCTACAAAATTTTCCCAACTGAGTTGTCCCAATCAATTAGCGAAAAGTAAAAGTACCCAAAACTGAAATTCCCAAACAAAACTTTGCCCACCAATAAATTGCAATAAGAAACACAAAATTTGTTACTTTCGATTCGCCGATGGTTTTCACTTTCAGGTCTTTGGCCGCTTAATAAATTTCTAAAATGCACAAATAATTGTGCCAATAAAAATAAACACGATCGGACGAAAATCAAATGAAAAACGAAATAAAAGTCGAATTGAGTAAACTTTCCAAGTGAGCAAAAGTTCAAGAGCCGCCTACGAAAATCGAAAAGCGCCGCGCGAAAACCGAAGAAAGAAAATACAAAATAAAGCAAAAGACAAATAAATTGCGAAGAGCAATGGCAAGGCGAACTTTTCTTTTGGACAATTGTAGCGTTGCAGCTTGACTTTCACCGACATTTATCCGAGGGGTGGTCGCAGGAGAGGTGGAGGCCTGGTGGAGTCATTAACCCGCTGCTATGTAAAAATGTCAAAGAGGCTTAGACCCGGTTTTTTTTTGCCCGTAAATTGGCCGCGCATGCTCAGTCGCAGTAACAGTCGCCTTGGTGAAAAGCGAATTTGGCTCTGACTTTGCCCAAGTCAAGCTGCAGTTGGCTTTTCACTTTCGTTTGGCGGCAATTGAAATGCGAAACTTGGCAAACGGATGCACATCGACCTGGTCGAAACCAAAACAGCAAGAAATTCATTTGCGAATGCGAAAAGAAATCCAACGATCCAGCGATCCAGCGATCCGCGATCCACAGGGTAGCAATGAACTTGGAAACCGACTTTGTCATCGCTCCATCTCTTTCGCCCAGTTTTTCACTTGGTAGTGAAATGCAATGCCAACACACAAACGCATAAATAAATATCGGTGGCATGGGGAAAACACACACACTTTTGGCAAGTGAAGCAAATAATGGCAACGGCGGGAGTAGGTGAGCAATGGGTGGGGGATTGGAAATTGGAGACATAATCGAGACACATATAAATATTGTTTTGGTTTTCACTTTCGATTTGCCTGTCAGGCCACTAAGTGTGAAATGCAATTGAATAGGTATTTCGGTTTAATCCGTCAATATGGAGATAGTTTATAAAAGTGATTTTTTTTGGCGTTTTCTTAATGATCACATCATGATAGTTATTAAGATTTTTAGTAGTAAATATAATTGGCTAAGCAATCAAGTTTTGAATTAATACATTTTTATGTGTTAGATAATATTAAGACTATCCTTCAGCTCATTCCCATTTCCCTATCCGAATATTCCTCTATAAACACCTTGGCAACACCCAGATCCCAGACCCTAGAACGACCATTTCTGTTGC